CAACAAAACAGAGCACAGAACAGGACAGGACAGGACAGGACAGGACACAAAGTATTCATTAAATGGAAACCGCAAAATGGTTGACAAAATACCATTCATTGATTTACACCACAAAAACCGAACCCAAACCCGACCCCGACGACTGTCAACGGCTATGGATGGCCACAGTTGCTGACACATGGCAGAGGATCGGCTGTCCACAGGATCCCTGGCCACAGATGCGTTTACAACACTGAGAGCCCTCCCAACCACTCCAGCCAACCACTCCATGTGTCATGGATAGATGACTACTTAAGGGAGCTGTCAATTGCCTGGATATATGTATGTAATTTATGCACAGCCGAGCCTCAAGTGGCTGAGGCCTGGGCCACGCCTGCGCACATCTGTGTAACCCTAGACCCGCACTCCGCACTCCGCCCCCCCAGCTGCCGCGGCTCCACCTCCACCCTGGAGGCTCCAGGCTCCTTTTTGTGGTCGAGAGCCCATGCCAAATGCCGAGATAATCACATTGTTGACTGCAACTGCAACTAATTACAAATCAATTTGTACCAGCCCCCAAAGGCAACGACAACGGCAAAAGGGAAACCAAAACCAGAGCCAATTCCCCCTAGACTGCGGCCGGGACTAACCGCAACAGGAAGCGACAGGAAAGAACCTCCTTAGCACCTGCCAGCACCCTATTAAAATGTTATGGAGCCAATGTCAATGGCAAGTTTAAAAACAGACCAAATGAACTGACAACTAGCCCTGGCCGTAAATCAGTGGAGGAGACAACGTTTGACATCCTCCCATGTTCAAGTGACGAAAAGAGCAGAGGAGAAACCTCATAAAACTGTTGGAATCTGGAAACTGGAAACTGGATGAGATGGATCACATTTGATGGGTGTGTGCGTGAGGTTTATGATCCATCCCCACAGCAATTGAGATGTACAGAAGATGAGACACAGCCAGAACTAGCTGGGCTGGCATGGAGGGGTCATATAGATACGAGAGTGATATTTATGGCGGAAGAGATGGATCACTTTTGATGACTGAGCCATTCGAGAGTTGTTAAGGATCTTTGATGGGAAGATATGGGAAGACGGATTAGCAGGATCAGAAATGTTTAAAATAGAAGACGTATGGAGATCTAGATCTAATAGCCTGTTACCGATCCCGCGTAGCGCCCTTCGTAACCGCTCTCTGAGAGCTCTCTAAGAGCGAGCTAGCAACGAGCTTGCTCTCACCATCGCCAAGGCTCTTCAGCGGGCTCATGCAACGCGCTCTCTTTTCGGGTCTTATTTGGTTCAAGACAACAGCAAGCTTCGTTCCTCTCTCTCTCGCATCAAACCTGGCGTCAAAGCGCTCTCCGTAGAGCTAAGCGTAAAATAAGACCCGAAGGAGAGTTGGCGGGCCAGCTTGCGGGCGAAGCTTGCATTAAACCCCGACTTTTGTCTCCTGCCCTCCTCGGGGAGTACCCCCAACACGAGTTCCTCTACTCTTTTAAGATATTTTCCCCTTCCACCTCGCCCTAGCTTATTAGTGCTCAAGTTTCTGTAGACCTTTCTCAAAACTCTGGCGTGCATAAGCACTTCAGCTTCGATGCCTTGGCATTGTTCGTGGAGCTCAAGAAAGGAGTGGAACCGAATGGAACCGAATCATTTGTCTTCTAATTATGATTTCAATGGATTGCCAAAATCAAAGAAGGCGTAATTCGCTCTCACCATCTCCGCAAGGACGGATGAGCGGACAGCGACGAAAGGCTCCCTAAAGGCGGCAAATCGAATCAAAGAAATAGCAAACAAACAAACAAATAAACAACAAAAAAGAAAAAACAAAAAAATGAAAGAGACTCCTCTCACCAACGGGCATTGTTGAGAGACAGGCTCCTGAAGAGCCGCAGACCACAAAACACGGACCCGAACCAGACAAAGGCCGGAGGGGAGTACAATTCGCACAAAAGAAGCGGAAAAAGCGATCAAAGAGGCCCAAGAAAGGAGCGGAGCGGAGCGGAAAGAACAGAACAGAATCGGCATCTCAAAATATAAAGCAGGGACTCTCAACACATGTCCAACATTAAGCAAACCTCAAAACCGAGACCCCGCAACACCGAACCCAGACCATATCCATGCGGCTAGCTTAGGACTCCTTTTCTTTTTTTTTTGAGCTCATCATCTGCTTTGTGGCAGGGGCACTGCGTCGTCCTCGTCGTCGTCGTCTTTAAGCGCTTTAAGCGAAATTAAAACATTTCACGCCGCAGGAGGCAACATCAGACAGGACGGGGGACTGGGGTTCACATTTTAAGGAACTTTATTGATTACTCTTCACATCTTTAAGCTGGAATAAAGTTCGTTCTACATCGTATGGGTTGGCTTTAGCTTCACACGTAGACTTTTCAGTTTGTTATTATTCATTATTCACAACACCACGGTGCTTATCAGGTCGAGCAAACTGTGGCCACAGTGGGACACGTATTTGGAGCAGCCCAGGCCGCGCGTGCCCGCATCGGAGGCCTCATAGAGCTCGTCCACGTGCTGCAGTTGCCGCTCTGCGGCACTCGTCGTCGGCCTGGCAGGGCAGAGGATGAACCGAAAGGTGATTAGCGGCGACCCCACGGTGGGTCAGAGGCAACGGCCAACGGAAACTCACATGAATAGAATCTGGAATAGGCTGCCCAGCACCCCATTGTGGGCATCCAGAGGCGATTCGTTGACCTCGCAAATGGTTCGCAGCAGGCAGGAGGAGCCATTGTACCCGTAGTGGGTCAGGTAGTTGATAATGCTCCGATAGAAGTCGTGGCGCCTGAACGGCGGCGGGGATCGCATCGAGCGGCGTCTCACCTCGTTGTCATCGTTGTCGGAGGCGCCTCCATCCCGGGCATTGATCGGTGTCACATTCCCGGGCACGCCGAGGAAGTGATCGTCCAGATCCCACTGAAAGAAGCGTCAAAGCTGCTGCTGTCTCAAAGACCACTGCCTTGGCGGCTCCACTCACCCTATCGATCCACTGGTTGTAGGAGTCGTTCGAGGGCAGCGCATAGTTCGACTCAAAGTTGAAGGCCATGTACACGTTTTTGGGCGACAAGTCCAAGGGTATGGCCACAGCAGCCAGCAACTGCGGACAAGTCAGTGGTTAATTCGGTCGGGAGACAGCACTTTCCTTACCCCAAAAGATCCCTGGCGCGGAAAGAAGAGAAAGCCCTGCGAGAGCCTCGCAGCGAGGACCATCAGGAGACCCAAGCAAAGCAGCCGGCGCGACGAACCCATCTTGCGGCAAGCTCTCAGCGAACTAGGTGGCAGTTGCAAATTGAACGTTGCACAAAAGTCCAAAGAAATGGGCGTCAGAAATGGCAGCTCGGACTCCCCCTCCCCTGAACGAGTGATGAACGGCGGCTAAAACCAAACCGGAATGTGCAAGATTTACACAGTTACCACATGACCCCGTCTCTGGACGTCTCTGAACGTCTCTGAAAGTCTCTATATCTCTGAGACCCACAATCGGAGAGGTGCTAATTGATAGAATGTGTAACATTCTTCTTCTCTCGAGAAAGTAGATGGCTTCTAGCTCTGGTATCGAGCCGTTTTATTGCGAAATCAAAAAGAAAATTCGTGAGTTAGAAAAAGAACATCAAGAACACTATTTAGTATCGACCTGCCAGAGCTGGCAGTAACAACGCCCTGGGGGAATCGCTCTAGGAAAATCAAAGAAGAAAAAATACAAAAAAAATATAAAAGAAATCAAATGAAATACAGAATAGCTACCGTTACGGTGGGCGGCCTCCTCTGCCTCTGCCAGATGCTGCACATGGCCATGGCCTTGGCCCCCCTGGGCAGCCTTTCGAAGCACGAGCGGAGCAAGAGATCGCCCATACCCTGGCTGATCTTTCCCACAACATCGCCCACACGTGTCATGGTTCGTAGAGCTCACCCCGATACCGATACCGATCCAGGTCTAATTCTCTTGATTACAGTTCATTGGCGGCATTGGCTTGCCCTTGGAGGATCTCAACTTTGAGGCCGTGACCACGGGCTATGTCCTCAAAGTGGAGTACTGGCTGCCCGTCACGCCGGACGATTTGAGGACACCCACAGCCCTGCCCATCACGCAGGTGGCGACGCCAGGCGTCACCGGGGCGCGCAGGCAGCGGAGGCCCATGTTCGAGAACTTCCTGGTCGGGGTGGACGAGCTGGGCAAGAGCACCAGGAAGATCCTGACGAGAACGAACAGGGTGCTGAGCAGCTACCGCTGGACTGTCTACAAGGGACTGGAGGGTCTGGCCGATCGCCTCGGCTATCAGGGCAGGATCTGTGTCCTCAAGAGCATTTGCGAGGCCGCCGAGGAGCCCTTCCACTTTGCCAACGGCCTCCTGGCCGATCTCTTTCACATTCTGCTGTCGTAAGTGTCGTAGAGGGCGGGCTGCAGCCAGAACCCATTCTAATCGGGGCTTTCCCTGCCTTACAGTCCCTCCTCTTCGGTGGACAAGCTGTCGGAGCATGCGGATAACGAGTACTACTATGCGGAGAAGATGGGCCAGTCCGGCGCCGGCTGCGATCGGGTGTTCAAGGAGTGCCGCCTCAGCCTGCTGCAGCACTTCAGCGAGCTCCACCACAACTTGAATAAGGTCTTGTTTTGAGGGTAATAAACCAAAAGTCTAAGCCAAAACCAAAACCAAAACGTTCGTTCAGTGTTCTTCTTGGAAACGCAGATTAGAAACAAAGAGACCAAATGTGGAGCTCCACGGCTCGGGTGCTAATTGGCAGAACGTGTAGTTCTCTGGGGCCACAGTGACGTCCCATATATTGGTCAGATCAATGGCGTCTAGATCGTGACTCAAGTGTTCCACATTGTTCAGTGTCCAGCGTCCAGTGTCCAGTGGCACTTTCGTTTTTCCAATCAAAGAAAGTAAGAAGCTCGATTCGTTCGTTTGGTTATTAAAGTGAAAAAGATTCGCCAGTCCCGCGTCTAGTCACAGTTTGTCTTTGCTGCTGTGAGGTCTATGCTCGGCTGCCAAGGATCCCAGAATGTACACCATCTGTTCGGTATTTCTAGTGGTTGTGGGTGTCCTGTATGTGTGCGGCAATGGTGGCACCCACAGCCAGCACACAGAGAGCGAGCTCCTGGTGCGCAAGGCCCGTTGGCTGCCGCTGATCTTTCCGCGAGCCAACCCCACAAGAATGCAAGTAAGCGACCACACATACCCGATCGATCCAGGGAAATATCACTCACCTACTCACCTCACAGATGATCGTTGGCTTTGGCATACCCGTGGAGGACCTCGTGATAGAATCTGTGCTCACGGGCTATGTGTTCAAGGCGCAGTACTATTTGCCCTATTCGGCCAAACAGTTGAGGATCAAGGAGGTCCATGACATCACTGCCCGCAGACTGCCGGAGAACGCCACCATCTTCCAGAAGATCATGCAGAAAACGGACGAAGAGCTGGGCGTGTCCTCGTGGGACATGGAGGAGAATGTCCAGGCCCTGGCCACCTATCGCTGGTCGGTGTACGAGGCCTTCCAGGCCCTGGCCATTCGCATGAACCTCACTGGCCGCGAGTGCGTACTGAAGAGCATCTGCGAGAGTGCGGCGGCTCCGTTCGACGAAAGGAATGGCCTGCTGGGCGAGCTGCTCCACATTCTGCTCACGTGAGTTCTCTATTGACTCCCTGGTGCCCTCCCTGTACCTCCGTTTCCTTGCAGACCCTCCAGCTCTGTGGATCCCCTGTCGGAGCATTCGGACAATGATTATCTGCAGGCGGAGCGCCTCGGCGAAGCCGGCACTGATTGCGATCAGGTATTCCAGAGGTGCCCCAAATCATTGCTGCAGCACTTTAGCGATGTCCATCATTTGGGCAGCGAGTTCCTGAAAATGCTGCGCTGATTCCAAGTCCAACTCAAGTATAGGTCCTAGGTATAGCTCTAAAGATTACATTAAGATTCTCTCAGCTTCCCCAAACAATCTGAGAACTTGCTGACTTCCTCTCGGGTTCAATTCATTTGTTTTGGGCCGTGAAATTTATGCAAATATCCAAACATAATAACTCTTTTTGTTCGTCTGGTAGCATCTTTGGGTGGTTTTTTCTCTACGCTCGGGTGGTCTTCTGGTCTTCTGGTCTCCAGCGCTGCTCCCTGTTTAGGGTCTATTGTCTTCTAATTCAATAATTACAGCTCGAGCTTCGGCTACCGGGACCCACCACCACCACCACCATCTCCGTTTGGGCTCCCTTGTGCCTGGCCAACAAATAGGCGTTTAAATGCAAATGTCTGCGCTGTAATTAATACGCATATAATACGCGTATTATGCTAATGCCAATGTCATAATGACTTGGGGAAACCGAACAAAATATGCTTTTCACAGCTCGAAATGCAGCTCGGGGTTCGAGTCGGAGTTCGGGTTTGGGTTTCGGGCTCAGTCATATATTCATCACTGTGCTGGGGGCTGGACTGCATTGTTAATGCCTTTACGTACTAATTAGCTTTGACAAAAGACAAAGCTACTAAAAATTAGTAGCACAAGGGTCCCCCGGTCTCTTGGGAGGGGACTTTCTCTAATGAAGTTCCCATTTCCAGTTCCCAGACTGGAGAGGCACTTGTAGGTCGTCGTCTCTCTGCCAGTGCCTGTGTTTCTGTGATGACAAGACTCTGATAAGCGTGCCGGAGAGGAATATATTTTGACAGGAGCCCCCGGACGGACACTGGAATGAATGTGTCTGCGACTCTGCGAACAAGATCATACGGGATCCCCTCGAGAGGCACCTTTCACAACATTTCATGTTGTGCTGTGATTACCTTTGACCCCCCTGCCTTTGGCTAGAGGACAATCATTTTGGAGTTTCATTGCCTTTCTTTGGAACACAATTTGTAGGAACATGCAACTTAACGAAGTGATCAGAGGCCAGCCCCCCAAAAAGCGGGGGCCAGATGCTTATCCGATGACTGCGATGGCTGGCAGCGACAACTATTTTATGGCCTTAATGTGAGACCAAGGAGGATGCTCTCCCTCCCTCTCCCTCTCTGTATATGGCCTGGCTTTTTGCTATTTTTGGTAACCTCCGGGCGGGGGAGGGGCTGGGGTTGGCTCCTGGAATTTATGCTCTGTAATAATTCTTGGTCCACACACAATGTAACAAATTGTTGTACCTGAAGGGAATGCAAATCCACTCCAGCGAAGGGGGGTAGGGGGGGGGGGGGGGGGGTTAAAGTTCACTCCACTCTGGTACAAAGTCAAACCATTTCAGCTCATCATCGGTGGACCATTAGGTGGTTTATCGCTCAATACCAAATGACTTTTGATGGCACTATCCCCCCCCCCCTCCCCCCACTCTTTTCGGGGAGCCATCAAATTACAAAGATCTTATCGGATATTCCGTATATTTCATGCTAATTAAAAGATATTTGTTTAGCGATAAACAATAATTAATTGTGGTTATTTTTCCTCTCCCCCTCCACCACCCCCACCCCTTAACCTGTCCCTGATTGAGTTGTATCTGTATCTACATATCTGTGGAATCAGTTTCAGGTGGTTTTGGTTGAAATAAACCAAATCAAGACCGTGGGACGGTAGCCCACACCCTCTGAGACCCCCTGAGACCCCCTGAGACCACTCTGAGACCCCCTGAACCCCCTGAGACCCCTCTGAGACCCCTCTGAGACCCCCTGAGACCCCTCTGAGACCCCTCTGAGACCCCCTGAACCCCCCTGAGACCCCTCTGAGACCTCCTGAACCCCCCTGAGATCCCCTGAACCCCCCTGAGACCCCCTGAACCCCCCTGAGACCCCCCTGAGACCCCCTGAGACCCCTCTGAGACCCCTCTGAGACCTCCTGAACCCCCCTGAGACCCCCTGAGACCCCCTGAGACCCCTCTGAGACCCCCTGAACCCCCCTGAGACCCCTCTGAGACCCCCTGAACCCCCCTGAGACCCTTCTGAGACCCCCTGAACCCACCTGAGACCCCCTGAGACCCCCTGAGACCCCTCTGAGACCCCCTGAACCCCCCTGAGACCCCCCTGAACCCCCCTGAGACCCCCTGAACCCCCCTGAGACCCCCCTGAACCCCCTGAGACCCCCTGAACCCCCCTGAGACCCCCTGAACCCCCCTGAGACCCCTCTGAGACCATGACGTATGCACATTGTCATCATAACTTTGGCCATTGTCTCTGATTGTGGCTCTCAGACACTAAATCTTTTTCTTTGCCTTTGCATAATTTCCTCTGTGAACTGCAGTTTATTATTTAAACAACGTGACTAAATTTACGTTGTGCAAAACGAGCCAAAAAACTGGGCTGGTTGACAAAAAAAAAAAAACACCCGCAGGTGGTAAAACAATAATAGTAAACGTTTGCACAGTGGTAGCCCCCAAGAGCTCCACCATCGAGCCATGGATTCGGGGAGGGCGGTTTTCGGTGTGAACCACTGTACATATATGTATGTGTGTGTGTGTGTGTGTGTGTGTGTGGGGCTGGCCATATGCAAAGTGAGCGCGGCTTTGGGCCCCAGACAATTTTCGCATGATAAATCGTTAAAGGAATATGAAAAACTCGCGAATTGTAACTGAAATAACATACAAAAAGATGGAGATGGCGATGGCGATGGCGATGGAGAAGGGTAGATAGCAAGGGCAACTCCAGTGTCCCCCAACCCCCCCCCCCCCCGCACCAGGGATACCTTTTGTTTATGCAAAAAGCTTCGCGAAATTGGCGCTACGTACGTGCCAAAGCATTTCATGGTCTGGCAACTTAATTCAGCAGGATGCCAGTCCCACACCCAGCCCCACACCCTGCCCCACACCCTCCTCCTCCTCCTCCCTGCCTGCCTGCCTGGCATATGTTGCCCCTACCATGTGTGCCTCATGCGGGTTTCATTTCCATTCATCTTCTGTTTGCCCGCGTCTGTGCTAGTGTTTGTTTTCACCTCCCCCAACCCCTGCCCCTCCTCCTTCTCCACCCCCTCCTCCTTGTCCCCGGCGCTCACGTGTAAATTTTCTCAAATAAATCATTAAAAGCTGCGCAGCGGAGGCACATTGACATTGTCAGAAGCTTTTCACCCACTCACAGAGCCCCCCTCCCCTCGCCCCACCCCTCAGGACTAGAGGCCCCTTTCATAAGGCCGCGCTCTTTTAATAGTAATCAACGTGGGGAGTGCTCATTGTGGGTCCCTGCCCGAGGTGCATCTATTCAGAGCCTCGCCTGCTGCCCCATTCATAAAGTCCACATCGAGGCGCCGTGCCATTGCACTCATCTCTTCTCAAGGGAATGCACAGGTCCTTCCTGTGTGTGCGGGTGTGCGGGTGTGTGTGTGAAGAGGTTAGTTAGTGGCACTTTAGCGCTAAAGTTTATACATAAATTTGTCATTGGCATTCAGTTTGCCTTCCGTCTTCCGTCATCTCGAGCACGGGCTTGGGCAAACATTTGTCTGGGCTTTTCATGGCTGTGGCATTCAAGCCAGGTTTTCCTTTGACAAGCCACACCCCACACCCCCCCCCCCCCCCGCACAGATCCCCCAGGGGTACAGGAATTTTAATTAAATCGGTAAGATTTCCTTAGAATTCGGGGGAAATGCTTTCGATATGGGGGCGACTCTCATTTTTACGAGGGCATCATTTACAAGAAATCTGTTATTGTCTTGTTAGGCATTAGCCCGGGCGCCATCTGGCGTCAGATGCTTGGCAAATTGAGCGATCGCCGGATGACTTGGCACCTTCCCAAAGAACTTACCAAGGAAACATAAATAAATAATCGAAAATGAAAAGCGAATCGAATGGGCCACAGCTGTGGCGGGCGAACGATTTGCAATGCCCTTGCCGCATTTTTATTGCACAATCACAAGTGTTTCCCTGTGTTCCCCTGTGTTCCACCGTGTGGCAGAGAGGGCGCCGGCACGCCCACTTCACGCATCGGGCCCACACCTTTGAACGGAAAATGTGCCGCACTTCACACCCAGATATCGCAGATATCCCAGATATCCCAGATATCCAGAACCATAGAGAATGATCTCCGAGTTGGAGAGCATGATTCGGGGAATGGTTTCGGGGCTGGATGGGACGGGCTGGGAATGACGGTGCCTAATGCGGCCCTGCACTTGAGCACACTGTTTGCTCAAGTTCAACCGATGCTCTGACTGAAATAAATTAAGAATTTTAATGCGGAAAAAAACAAAAGGGAGCGAGATACCCATAGACCTAGGACCGACACGACTTCATGCTTAATCAAAATGTGTTGCAGGGCAGCGCCCCTCTCTCTGTCTCTCTCTCTGGCCGGCGGATCCTTTTGAACTGCCGCCAGCAGCCACTGTAATATTTAAACCAGATCAGATGAGATCAGTTCCATTCGCCGACGCCATTCTGACTCTCTCTGCCTCTTTCTTCGGCGTCTTTTGGGTAAAAAATTATCACAGCTTTGCTAATGAAAGGGCAAACGAATGATATTTTAACGAGTCCTGCAGGACCTCCTGGGTTGTGTGTGTGTCCCTAAAAGGTGATAACGCCGCCATCGATCCAGCCCCTAACGAATGGGATGTCTTTCGATTATTAACGTCTTTTTAGCTCGATGCAGATTGCCTTTGACGTTGGCAACAGATTAATGTGGTTGGTAATGCAGACTCCAGTCATAGTTCATTCCAGGCAGGCACCCACACCTTACCCGCCATTAGATGCGGTAACAACTAGGGCTCTGGGGGCTTCCCTTCGACATCCATCAGCCTCAGACTCAGCCTCAGCCTCAGACTTGGTGTAATCATTGGCAACATATGTTACCCGAAACTTATCTCCAGACACAGACTGTGCGCACAATGTCAATGTCACACACAGAAAATTATCACACTTGGGATTAGCTGGAAGAACACTTAACACACGCCGCCAGCCCGCCAGCAGGAAGGAGAAAGAA